ACTGTGTTTGTAACCCCAGTAGGGATGAATAGCATTAGTCATTGTGAAGAATTGGAATCTTTTTATCGGAATTCTAATGGGACTAAAACAGTGGGTGGTTGAGATTATATATTTTTACAGAGAAATGATATTCATCCCCATTGGAGAATCTCCAATCTATGTGGCGTTAATGTGGCATTAAATGATAGGTGAAATTAAATAAGTCATTTAACCAATCATTTAAATCCACATAGATTGAGGATGCATTCCTACTGGGGATGAATAGCATTTTTCATTTTTACACGCATACAGGGAGAAAAAAAAAAAAGATGGAGTGTGGCGGCTGGAAGGAAAATTGAACCGACTGTTGGGAAGGGGAAAACACACACACACACACTGAGGGCAGCACGCAGAGAAGACGGCGGCTGGGAAAAAAAAAAAAAGATACAGACGGCTAGAATTAAGAAAAAGAAGGTCGAGAAAAATTGGAAAAACACGGCAGAGAAGAAGAGATGGCAACGCAAATGGAAAATAATTCTAGATTATTGCACAATAATTTATCAATAATTGTTCAAGAAATTTGAAAATTAAACACATTCCATCAATTTATCAGTGATGTCATTTTACTTTTATTTGTTTCTTCCATTAGTATGTTAGGATAAATATTTTTGTGCTGGTTCAAGATGAACCTTGTATTATGAAACTTTGACATTGAATCTTGTTTTTTATATTAAAATACGTTTTCAATTCTTGAATGACTGATATAAATTTATTTTTTTTACAATTATATGTGCAATAGTTGTATGAGTTCTGTGACTTGTTTTACCTTCGAAATATAAAAAATAAGTTAGACATAATGTCAATTATCATAGAGTCCAATAGGAGATAAAAATATACCGCTATACTTTATGTGATCTTTAAGTATTCACAAATTCATTAATGCATTATTATATATTCGCGTTTGTCACAGAAATATAGTCGAATCACGTGTAAGAATATGTTTAACTATACTCGAGAGATATTATTAAAAAAATTAGGAATATTGGACTTCATAATTGAATCGTATTGTCAAATTTATAAGTTTCGGATTACAAGGGATTCGAGATCCTAGTACGCTTTTCATTATCATATTTTTATAAAACTTGCAGTTAATTATAATCTTTCATTTATTTTAGTTACGTATTGCATTCATAAGTAGATTATCAGATCACCATTTAATTAAAAAAAAAATCACAAATTTATTGTTTCGATTAAAGTTAAGTTAATTCGAATTTGAATGATAGTTAGACTCAAAATTTAAAGTTAAGTCAATTCCTATAAGAACGATAGTTAGGCTCAAAATTTAATTTACTACTTATTAACGAATTGTGCCCTCACGGTATTTTATATTTCAAAAACAAAAGAGCGACTCCAACTGTAACGAACACGTTGTCATTACTTTATTTTATACCAACAGGAAGACTAGAGTACCCCCACAACAAAAGGATAGAGTCAGACTTCATAATGCAAGACAATAATGCAAAAATTGAGCCCATTTTAGATTAATGCTAGTCACAAGCCAAAGAATGTCAGCCTGCAATTTGTCCCCTACTCTCTCTCTCTTTCTCTCTATCTGTTGCTCTGTATCAATGGAATCTCATTATCCATAAGTTGAAACCTGCGAGTGTTCAACGTGTTTGAAAGTGTTTATTACATAGATATGTAAAACAAGACGTGTCAATACAACCGAGCTCTGAGATAGCCATCACACGGTAGAAAATCCCAAGGCAGCCCGGCCCCACCCCTTGACTGATTCTCGCCAAACATGCATGAATTTAACACATTTCAATTTTTTTTAAATTCAAACTTTTGTTCCTAAAAAGAAAAACAAACAAACAAACAAAACAAAGCAAGAAGAAAAACATGTGTTGAACTCTGCAATGATTGAGTTTATTTTCAAGGATTTTAGAAAAAAAAATGCATGAATTTAACATATTTCAATT